CATAGACCTTGTTCCCACTTTCTGGTGCAAAGCGAGCACTGCCTTTAAAAAGCAAACGAAAAAACCTGAAGAATTCTTGGCCGTCGATCTCGGCTGTCGTCGTCTCCTTAAAAAAAAAAAAAAAAAAAAAAGGCAGCAAAGTGCCATAATTCTTTTCTTAATAGATAATGCCAAAGCGTAGATGACAGGAATCAAACCAAAGCAAATTGAATACAGGAACTGTACAGTACTTTACTAACAATTACTAAAACACAAATAAATAAAACTAAGAAGAGCTCAAGGAAAAAAAAGAAACCAGTAGCRCTGCAGAAAGCAAATGCATCAGGCAGTCCTTGAATGTGAATTATCAGATTCCAGWCTCTTGTCTAGATGGCTCTGTCTGAAGGTCCACACAACTTTATTTCATTTTGCTTTGAAGAAAGGCAAGCTATTCAGAAAAACACGATCTAGCTTTTAGATTTTCAACAATACAGTTCACAATGCTTGCAGTCCACGTTGCCGTTAAAGGGGAAATTTGAAGTCTTGAAGTATTCCCCTTTAGTTCCCTCTCTGTGCATCTGTAAAGCTTATGCTCGTGTCATTGCAAAAGTTCCTACTGTAAAACTCTTAATTCACATCCACGTACACACATACGGGCATAAAGGAGGCACCTTTAGGCCCCAAAGAGCATCTGAGATCTATGCCACACAGTCAACTGCTGCATTGCTACCCAAACCTCTAAAATTATTATTTTGGGGAAGAATCTGAGGTGATTTTTTCTCCCCTTATCACTGAGAACAAAGACATGGTGCCATGGGAAAATATTAGATAGAATCATTAAAATTTGAAGTATAATCTGGCTCTCAAAATCTTCAATAATTTGATCACCTAACAACATATGGAAAATAAAAAAGGATTGCAAGTGCCAGAGCAGAAAAACGATGTTCAAGGATCTGAATGGCATCTAAAAAAATGAACACTGGGCATTTGTGATACTACAGAATTACCATTTGAAGACAGARCCAGAAGTATGGGAAACATTTTTGTTTGCAGACCGAAACCAAATGAACCCCAGAAACCTAGCTGTATAGAGAACTTATATCTCTATTAATTTTGACACAGATCAAACAAAATCTGCCTGCTTTATGACCCACATTTCTGAACGAGGTTAAAAAGCAAGATTTGTTTAGGTCAACTGCATGAGAAATGGACGTATAGAATTACCTTACTAAGGGATCAGAAAAAACGGTCACACATCTGTGTTGTACTAGTAAAGGAAATAGTGGAGAAAAGCGGTAATATTTACCAATGCTATTGGTAATTATTACCTTAACCAAATGAAAGGAGGACTGCGGAAAGTGTTGAAGACAAGAGAAACTCAAGGGAAACTCAAGGGAAAAAAGAGATCTCTAGCTTTCAGAAGAGGAGTTCCCAAATTTTTGTTCCTGGTGGACTACCAAGTACAGTACTACAGAGAGCAAGTAGAGCAGCTGGAAGTTGGGACCAGCTCCAAGTTCTGCCAGACAAATAGCTCTGATCCCAATTGCTCAAATACCTCAACCTCAATGCAGCCTGAAAAAACTCAGTAGACTTTACAGTCTCAAGAATCAACTAGATTTTCCAGAGGTGACAATCTGTCTAACATGCCATCCTAAAAAAATTCAGACCTCTGGAATCCAATAGCCTAAGTCTAAGAAAAAATATCTCCGACTACAATTATTTACAATGTTTTATAATAGTATCTCAGCTACTGTTCCGAATGGATGCCAAAAGATTCAATTTCTTCAATGATAGATGAGTCCAGGAATTTTCAGTCATGTCTTGAAGTCAACAAATTCTCTTTTTCCCTGAGAATGTAGCAAGGACTTCACTACATCCTCTGTCAGAAGAGTCTGAGATTCAAAGAAAGGCGTATGTTCCTGTGCAAACGGAGCACCAGGTGACATCTCTAACATCTAGAGATGGGGATAGACACCAGCTATAGACACTTTGTTGGCCAATCTAATTCTTCATAGATCACATGGCACCATGTGATTTGTTTTGTTCTTAGTTTGTTCTTTCCAAACATAGTTTGTTCTTTCCTATAAAAATAAAGAACTTCAAACAGATAGAGACAACAATATAAAAAAAGTCTTTTGGTCCTAAGTTACAACTAACTGACCTGTTTGTTGGAATTCCTGATTTGAATAAGGCAGGAGGAGATGTGAAATCAGCTTTGGTCGCCTGCACCAGCAACTCTTTCTCCAAATTTCCAGTTCTGCCCTGCTGTACCTTCAAAATAATGTTTTATCATTAGTTTTATCTCAGAAGCATTGTAAGCCCAACACTCAACATAGCACATTGCCAATACAAAAGACAGCAAGTCCAATTTTAATCAGATTAAAAAAAAAAAAAACTGTCACTTGCACAGTTAATAAAGCCCCGTATTTCATAACGTATGTTACTTAAATATACATATTTAAATATATAACTTAAATATTGCTTGAGTTTATATAAGAAGCAATCTATGAAAGGGCAATTTACTGAAGAAGATTAGACAATAATAATACTTTCAAATAATTTGATTTGGACACTGAACAAGAGCACCAATTTGTTTCTCTTCTAGAGCCTCCTGTATGTACAACATTACATCTTATTTTTAAAAGCAGCAAAATTATTCAAAAATATTCAAAATCTAAGCCACAGAAAGGTTGAACACATCTGCTACCTGGCTGCAAATCACAAAACAAGTACATGAACCCATTCTCCATCTGCCTTAGCGACCATAAAAACCACTTAATTTTTGAGTCATAGTAGAAACAGATCATAGTCTACATTATGAAAACTTGACAAGATTTTCCATTAGTTCAGATTGGMTACTTTAAAAACATACTGCAGTTTCTGAAGTACTGCAAAATTCCAGAGACGTATTACTACAGCTTTCAAGACTTGTTGGGGCAAATATTTCAAGTTCTGTTTGATTCCAGCAGCACATTATACATGCAATAAAAACTACTTACATGATTTAATATTAAAAACAATCCAGAATGCACTTATTTTTTAAAGACTGTCACTGTGCTAGCCAAATAACTACATATCACTCTTCAGAGTGCATTTCTAGAAAAGTGTCATCCAAGTTAGAAAGAGTTAGAAAAAAAATAAGAAGTAAATAGCTAAAAATGCAATGGTCAGTAAGACAGCTCAAATCCCACCATGTCAAACTGAAAAGAAACAATTATTTAACTGTATAAAGAACACTTTTTACAAAGTGATAAAAGCAATTCTCATTTAAGTAGCATGTTTTGTTATCTGTGATATCCAAGAGCTCCACAAACAGCAATACATGTGAACTAGTATATGAGAACCCAGCTAGCTTGATCGTGCTGTAACATTATATGGGCTCCGATCTGGAATCTCACAGGCAAGCGAATGATTCAGCTTGTGCAGAACCTTGCTGAGAACCACAAGAATCTCCTGTGGATATGGGAAGGAGATCAACTGCACATACATAGTTAAGACTCTTTAAAAAAAATTATTTAACTTTAGCATCCTTAAGAAAGATATTTAATATTTAAAATAAGATTTTTTTAAAAGGATCTTTCTGAAAAATCTGTAAAATCTCTATTGATTAATAAGTAATTGAAAAAATGCAGGAGACAAAGCAAAGTCTTGCCAGTCATAGATGACCAATCTAAACATACCATGTAAAAAATGTATGACTTTTAGTATTTCTGAAGAGTTGAGAAATTTATTAAAGAATTATAAAATATGCCTCTTATGTGTGCACCCTTCCCCTTCATTTGTAGAATAGATGACACACTGAAACTTCCAAATAACATATGTATTGATGCATCACTAGAACCCCACCACCCCTGCCAGCATCAATGAAGAGACAGCAAGAGAGGAAGTATTTGTTTGGAATACTCATCCTTCTTCCATTAGGATCAGAGATGAGAAAAATCTGAGCTCATAGTGACCAGCTACAATGGGAAATCATAACTCCTACTGTCCAGCTTCGCCTTAACACTACTACTATGAAAAAGGAGGAATGGAAAAAGCCCTGGGAACTTCTGTTCTTGCTTTGCGCAAATCAACATTCCCTCATGGAAAAGATATTATATATACACTTGGTGTATTTCCATCTAATTCCAGACAATCAAGAAAATGAACGATTGATTTTTTCAAATCTCAAGAGTTGCCACGGATAAGTGTTACAAAACAAAAGCAAAGAACAAGCTACAAAGGCCACAGGAGAAAYGAACAATGCCATAACCTACAAAAGCTTTCCCTGCCCATCCGCACCAATTCTGGACAAACAAATGCACTGCAACCACAAATAAATCGTAAGAGAAAGCAAARTTAGTGTCACTTAGAAAAACGTCAGCACACCAGGCCACTAACTGACACGTTTGCAAACAGATGACAAGCAAAGCAACACTTTTTAATCAGCACTTTGTAACGTACACAGACAGTCACGGATGCAAGATGAGAGTTTGGAATAATGGCTACATCCATTTCAACTGTTCTTCTATCAGTCTGTGGTGGTATGGGAAGCAATACTTGACAAAAAATGAGAGCAACCAACAAAAGTTTACTAAAATTCACCTTAAAAAGATGGTATCTGCCATCGAGAACCTCTGCACTTGGTCTTACTTCCATAGCATTGTCTTCGGCCTAAGTTAAATAACACATTGCCCATTAAGATACCACGCAAGCCTGAATTGCTGGGCCACATTCTGAGGAATGGTGGAGATACAACCTAGTTGCAGCTACTCTGTGCCACTACCCACACCAAATGCCACTGAAGCAACCCAGGGCCATTCCGGGCTTGGGTTGGGGAGGAATCAGGTGCCAACTCCAACAAATGCACAGCCGTGGGCACAACAAGCTCACCACACACAAGCAACTAACACGAGGAGGGGAAAAGCTTGTGGAATATCACCAAAGTTGTATCACTTACCGTAATTTTATTTGTGGTTGAGGTAACTGGTAAAATTTCAAGACCCATTCGTATTCTCTTCTGTTTTTCACAGTAAGCTTTCCAGGTATCTTCATTGAAGCCATAGTTGAAATAATCAGAGAGATCAGCCCCTTTAAACAGAATGTATTAGAATGTAAGTTTTTTGGATGTTATAAAAATCCTCTTTTCTATCTTCCATTTTATTCCTATGTTAGCATCAAATCAGATTAACATTGGTCCAAAAGATGCACYGCTGAAATGCATGTCTCATATGCTCATGGCTAAGACCAAAAGAATACAGAGAGTACAAAAGCATCTCGAGYCTAGCATCCTGTATCAGAGATCAAGAGCAGACACCTACAGAACAGCACAATATATGACAATCCTTCTGAGCATGAGCAGATAACAAAATCATGCAGAAGAATCACTCCTTCTTGCTTGTGCTGCATTTAAMTGTTCACAGCTTCATTTGAAGCCTCCTAGTACTCAAGATATACAGGATATATTGCAAATACCAAACAATCCAAACACCAATTATCAATAGTTTTTCTGCCTCCGGTCTTTGTAGACACCCTTTGCATCACCAAAACAATATATAAATACTGGAACAAACTACTCAGAGCAGTAAGAGCTACCGCTAAAAATAAAAATATATAATAAAACAAATATACTGGTCTTAAGAGAAGTCTAGTCAAATCACTTAAGCAGACTGGTTTATGCTTTATCCTCTGTCATTCTGTCATATAGGGTAGATCAATGGCAATAATATTTTCAGAAAAAMATTTTTTTAAGCAGAGTTCAGGAAATACATGGATTTAAGGAGGACAAATCTTGCAATTGCTTTTCGCTGACATGCATGCGTGTGATGTTGACCAACACTCTGCAGCACAAAGGCATCAAGTAACTTATCTGCTTTCTGTAATATTGGACAGTATCTTCTATCTATAGGGTAAGTAAATTCCATACATAGTACATGAGAATTATTAGAAGAATACTGAATTCGGTGGAATACTGAATTAACATATGATAACGTTAACCAAAGCATTACCTGGCTTTCTCCAAGGTTTATCTTCAAAAGAATCTAGATCTACTTCGAGAAGTGGAACACCATTAATACTTCCTGGCGCATCTAGATCCACCCCTTTAACTTTTGCTCCTGTAAAGGTAAGTTAGAAAGTTAGAGCCTTCTCTCTCTACTAAAGTTAGTTTTAACAGTTGCAACATTTGGAAAAACAAAAAAAAAAAAGAAAGAACTTTTCAAAGGCAGAACTAGTTCCTTTATCCAAAACAATCTGGTATGTCTAAGAAAAAAACATCGTAATATCTGTCTCCTCCTCTTAAACACAAACCTTTGGCAGGAAAACGCACATCACACAGGTGTTTCTTTCAGCTGTTATTTAGCAGCTGTAACAGCTTTTTCAGCTGCTATTGCATCCTCAATACTTTTAAGTCCCTATGCACAGATTTACCTAAGAAGTCAATGTAAGAACTAAGCCTCCGGCACATTCAAAGAATGACTCAGTTGCTGGTGAGCCATGAAGCTTCCCTTTGCCACCAAGGCAGAGCTGTCTACATGCTGGTCACTGCATTTTGCTTTTTCCAACACTTGTAACACCAAGTTTCACCATTTGATGTTTACTAACACCAAATATCAAAATCACTTTTCATTCAGGTTTTTATAGATAACCATATCTAACCAAAAAACCATAAGAGACAGGTGCCTTTTAAACAACTCAATCACTTGTTTTCATTTTGAGTGGTAAATCATGCCTCTCAAGGCAAAAAAAAAAAAAAAGAAAGTACCCAGGTTTTAGAACCATTTAACAAAAACAATGCAATGAACATTCAATAGCTTAAGAGAAGCAGTGATTTTGTATTTATCTAAATCAATATCATCACACCAAAACTTTTTGGCAGCTATAATGACAGACTACGCACATCTGCATAAGTGTGGCCTATGTTTCATGTTACTGATTTGCTTGCATTTTTACTCATAGTAGTGTGTAAAATTCTCTTACCAGAAGATCCATAAACTCGCCCTCCTGCCTTAATATTGAGATTCACAGGCGCCGCTCCATAGCTTAAAGAAATTAACAGAACTGAATTAGTCAGAGAAAACTCTTAAGACAAAAGAAAAAGCAAACTTAACAAAACAAGAGTTAGCTAGATCCAGAAACAAACTGGATCCAGGTTCAACGACCATCTGGAATCTCTATCTTTCCAAGCTGGTAACACTGCAGAAGTAAAGAGATTAGCCTAGGAGCAAGAGAGTGTACCTTTCCATGCTCAGTAGCAACTTCTCCAACTAAAACAGTTGTGAAGCAAGTCCCAGTCACTCCTCCTGAGTTGAAAGCATAAAGGCCTTGATAGAAACAAGAGTGGACAGAACCAGAGGAAGAAAGAAAGGAAAAACGAAGTTCATTTAGGGATACAGATGACAGTCTAGGGAACAGGGTAAAAGCAAACTGAAAATAGTTTAATTAGTAACCTTTCTCGCCCTTCTCTGCTTTCTTGTTTCAAAACCTTTCCTGTTTTCATAATTAATCCATTTAATCTGTACAAAAGGGGAAAATATAGGCATTCCTCTTAAGTGACCAGAAGTTTGTCTGTTTCAACATATTTTTAGCAAACACTTATGTTTTTGTCCAATAGTGGTGGTGGGTGGTGGAAAAAAGGCTTGTACAAAAAAAAAAAAAAAAAAAAANAAAAAGGTAGAAAAGGCCTCAATAAACTGGATACACATTTCACTTTCTGAAAGAGCAAGGATAATTCAAATTGGACCAAGAAAATATTATTTATAAAAATCCAAACAGGAGTCAAGGCACTAAGGTAATTTAGCCCCTTTAAAAGTTACAAAATAACATTTCCATGCAACTAGAAGGAAATATACAGCTTACAGTACAGCCCCTCATAGAGTTCCATTTTTCATTTGTGACTGTGCTGCAGGAGAACAAAACGGACACAAAACACCTCTCCTAATGATCTGCCAAACTCTATTTGTATATAGTTTTTTAAAAGTAAAATCAATGTGCTTTTTTAAGTGATTGATGACTAAATRAAAAATAATTTAATCCTACCTAGAATTTTGTTAAATTGAAATTAAATGAAGTTAAAACAAATAGTAATGTTAAGGTTGTTTTAGAAGAGTGCCCTTCCAGTAACTTTCTGTATGATTTGCTCAAGAAAAAAAAAAAAAAAAGAAAAAAAAAAAAGCCCCCAAGCACAAACACTTCTAAGAACTTGTGTTCTTAAAGCATCTAAAGTATTAAGGCCATTTTTGATATTATACCTTTCACACAGCTACTTTAAGATATGAAATCCTGTAAGTTCAGAAATATTATACGTTTCAAAAACAAGTAAAATTACCTGATTTCTAAAGTTAAAAATACAACATACATGAGTCAGACATACCTGCAGCATATACAGAATTAAGTCATGGAATACTCCATTTTTGAAAGCATAAAAATTGCCAACATGAACAAGCAAACAACTTCTGTTAGAAAACTTCCACGTAATGAAAGACTATCTTTCATATTTTTTGCTGAAATAAATGCTCTTCMGAGTCATTAAGTGCAAAGGAAACTCTACCAACAAAAAGAATACAGAGCAAATAACAGCAAAAATTTCTTGTACAATGCAAATGCCTGTAGCATGACCTCGAAAAATTATCTCTAGGATCTCGTGGCTTCATCCTGAAGAACATTAAGCCCTTATCCRATAACAGCATTAAGAACTTAAAACTTCTACTTGTTAAAATTGTACCCACCACAAACAGGACCAAGGACCAATGTTTTTAATGTTTTCTGTGCTTGCCACTCTACAATTCACACCAAAATATTACTGTCAAAAATGACCCTAAAATATTATACAATCAATTCTCTAATAAAAAAGACAGCTCTCAACCCTGCATTTTCTTCAATGCATTTATTTCTCAAGATACAAAAAGTGTAACTTAMAAACATATACAGCTCTCACAACTCATTTCATTTCTTGCTTTTTTTTCAAGTCACTCTTACCTAAAAACATTTTGCTAAATTGATTAAAATATACATAAATTATTCTCCATGTTTCTAATTTATTGACAACTACTGAAAGCCAGAATTAATGTCTATGTGTAATCCTAAGTGCTCCCTCAGTTAATGTTTGCAAATAACTTACCCATACTGAGAAGCTCCCGTTTTAATRTCCCCTATGGTGACTTGAACATCATCTTCATCATCATCACTATCACTATCACTGTCATTCTCGTTCTCTGTCACCTTCTGCGAAAAAGAAAAAAGTCACTGCTCAGACAAAGGGCAGTCACTTACCTACAGCAGAAAAATATTCCAGACAAAATTCCCACTRTGGGAACCTTTGACAGAAAATCAACTTGGGAAGCTTTGTCTTAAATATAAAGCTGTTGCTGTTCCCATGAACACCTTTTTTATGCACTGAATTTCTAAAAACTATTTATTAACCAGSCATCTACACATATGTCCTTACTCTCTCATATAACTTGGCATCAGTAGAAAACTTGTGATCCCACAACTTACCCCTCTGCCAAGTAATTTATGAACACGTTAAACAGCACAGGGGTCCAGAGAAGGAAGTACACCTGCAGTCGTGTTCCTCTGCAAAAACTTAACTTCAACTTTCTATCCTTTGGACATGAATCACCTGTGCAGGACATTCCCTCTTAGCCTGCAGCTGCTTAGCTTTCTTAAAACACTTTGGTGAGGAATTTCATCAAGACCTATGTGGAGGTGAACTTTACCAAACAGCTTAGCCTCATCCAAACACTAGTGGAACCCTTCAGCTCAATGCTGAACCTAGCAAAGCCAGGGTGTTTCTTTCCAGGTGGACTGCAGTTACCCAAGTGTAGCTGAGTTATAGCCCCTACTATTTACAGCTTCTAACTAGCCTGGTATACAAATTAGACAAAAACAAGCAGTTGCATGGAAGAGAAAAAAATGGAGTACGGTTCACCTTYGCTATGCAACATTACTATAATCTACATAACAATAAAACTTTTAAAGCCAGATCTTAAAAGTTTACATAACAAAAACAAGAAGACAAAATAAAAAGAGCAAATATAATTTACATGACAATAATACATTTACACAGCAATAAAAATCAATGGCGGGGGGTGAGGGGGCCTTGCAACTTGCATAAATATTTAATGATCGCGTATTTGGCAATAGTAAGGCAACACTTGCAAAATATGAACTAACTAATCTTCCACCGAAATGAAAGTACAAGTTTTTTAGACAATAGCCTTAAGCTGAGKTCTCTTATCAACATATGAACTGTCAATCTCATTTCTTGGTCCTTTCATCAATCTGACTAGTGAAAACTTACAAAACAAATTTATTATGCTGACTTTAAAAGGCTCATTATTCACCTTTTGATTCATATTTTTCACACAGTTCTGCACATGTTTACTGTTTCTAATGTTCAAAACAGAAAAGCAGTCAAAAAAAGATTTTCTTTTCCTATCAGTAAGGAAAAATAGAGAAGAGATTCATTTTCTAAAAGATATCTTTGGAAGAAGACTGCTGGCTTGAAGGTTTTCCCCACAGAAACTAGAAGTACTGTGCATTTATTTTCTAAAACTCAGTTTGAAACACTGAACTGCAGCTGGAAATTTCATTTCCTAATCTAACAGCTTCTACAGTTTCTAGTTGCTATCAATAGTATCAAACACCTGTAAGAAAAAAAAAAGTTAAAGGCATATAGCAATATATAAATACAATTCTGTATCTTACTTGAATGGTGATTATTAAAATAGCATTTTAAAAATACGTTTAAAACTACCGTTTTCACAATGCCATTTTCTGCAGCTTCCTCTTCAGTCCCAGGTGGAGGTGGAATGCTTAAAAACAAACAAGAACAAGTTAAAATAGTTACCTATGTAACATATGAAAGATTATTGCTACTTTACTCCAGAAAATAGCCAAAGTTCCAACTACCTTTCTCTTTCTTCTGATTTTTTTTTTATAGAATAACTATATTAGCAGTATAGCATTTAATTAACACAAATCACCCTACCTGGATGCTTGTAGAATACTTCTTGCAGAATTGGAAAGCAATTCTACAATGAATGCAAAAGCAAACTGAAATCTCTTATAAGCTCTGAAATGAGAATAACTGAGCTTTTATTTTTCTTGTAGACTGACACTCTTCAAAGATAAAATGGAAAAAGCCTTTATATACCTGGAAGCAAAGCAGTACTGAACCAAAATGTCTTTATTTGCATTGCAAAGTGTTCTTTACCAAATAGAACAACTGAATGATAAATTTGATTATATTTTAACTGTAGACTGAAAAGCATCTAGATTTTAGAACTACTGCTGGTTTGTCTGAGATTAACAGCTTTGTGGAATGAATCCAAATGAGCTGGCTTGCAGGACTGGCACCTAGTGCTGTTTCTTACACAGCAATACTTCCAGGCTTGCACTAACGGGTAGAACGTTGCATCACAGGCAGCAGGGWAAGTAGGGAGCCATCTCAAACCAATATTCTGCCACAGAGGTTTTTTGGGGTTGTTTCTGACTCTGAATGGGGCCAGCAATCTCCAAACACTATTATATAGGAACTGTAACCTGAAGAAGCATTTTGATCCCATCTGATTCTGCCAACATTACGATTCACAAGTGTTACCTCTAAACTCAACCACTTTACCAACCAGTAAAATGACAGTCTAGTTACAGAACCTGAGCAGAACTTCACATTGTCTACACATGAAGAAGGCCAAAACCAAGAGGCCAGAGACCTCAGTTTTTAGCAGGGTAAGTGTCATCCTGCTTTCTGAGTTCCAAACACAACCTGTAAGAAAGGTAAGCTGTAATCTGCTGCCYTTTTAGTCCTTAAGTACTACTTATTAAGGCAGACAACAGGGATCATCAGCCAAGCTAGACTGCAGGACAGCATTGACCAGGAGAGAGTAAAACACCACTGTTTTTTACAGATCCTTTTGACTGCCAGACAAAAAATGTTCTTACATGACAGCATCACTGACAAAAGGTGCCAGGCCAAAGAAAAACAGAAAAACAAGTAATTGAGCACAAAGAATCAACTGATACGGAACAGTTTCCAAGTGAGGAGCAAAAGGAACAAACAGACTGCAATTCCTTGGCCTGGACAGTCTATGATTCATGGTGAATGGGACAGAAGTCTACAAGACCACAAATGACATAGAAAAGGTAAAAAGGAAACAAGATTTGCTGTTTCATACAAAAACTGACTGGAAACAAATAATTGCCTTTAACAGGTAGCTTCAAATTGATGTCCCAGRTAACTAAGTGGTGGAAGCCATTACTGCTACAACACACTGCTCCCGCAAGAGTTGAATAGTTGAAAACAGCAGCTTTATGGAGTTTATGGACAAACAGTCCATCAAGGGTGGTTTAACRTAAGATCCCACTGAAAAACCCTTGCAGTCAGCTGGCAGAACTTACAGAAAATATCTGCCCTCTTATAATGCCTTACCACTTTATTTAACTATCTTTACTATCAAAAACTTCCATAGTTGCTCAACATCTGAGAAACTATGAGAATATTTCTCTTACTCCGTATTGACAAGCTGACTCCTGCTTCCAGGCWGGCCTTGATACAAACCTCCATCAACTCCAACCTTGCTGTTTTTTCAGAGTCACATCTTTGTGGTGTCTCTCACACAGCTCCTAATGTCTAATATTCCCCACAACATTTTCAGAGTTTCTTCTGCCTTTCCTTCAAAGGCTCCCTTACTAAATTACCTATCAAATAAACAAAAAAGGAGAAGTCGAGCAAAGGTCTTATRGGAAGTGCACATCAAACTGTCCAGGCCTCTCTGCTTCCTTGTATTCTTCCTTCTGTAACTAAGTTGGAGGTCCTCTGGGAACACGCTGCCTTTTATTCKTACTATGTAAACCATCCAGCACAAATGAAGTTCTGGATCAGGACAATTATGGATCATAACTGAGAATTCAATGCACAGTAACTGCAAAAATAAAAAGTTCTGTTCGCACTTCAATGAAGAGATACGGATGTCTATATAGCTAAAGCCAAAAGCAACCTTCATATTCAAGCAACCCAACCTCTCAGGTAAAATAGTTTCACAGAAAAGCCAGACCACAGAAAAGCCAAACACACTGTCTAGAGGGATTTCTGGGGAGCCCAGTGTGGGTGTTTGGGTGCTACAGACTTGCCGGCAGCTGGGAAAAGCACGTTATCGATGCAACGCGCCACAGAATTTCTGCTCGTGAAGATACACACCTAGCCTTGTCGTCTTCGGCCCTCTCCACCTCATTTTCATCTAAGGCAGGAGGAAAGAAAGACAGGAGTTAGGAGCGACACATTTAACCCCCTGCACAGCAGGGATGTGGCCCCGAGCCGGGCACACGGTAACGTTTGGGACACGTCCCCGCGGCAGCGGCTGCGGCAGCAGCCCCGCGCCGGGCGCGCGGCCTGGCGGGCCCCGCTC